GAACAACCTGGCATTAACATGGAAACGACTAGGGAAGGTCCAAGATGCCTTAGCTCTGATGGCAAAGTGTGTAGAGCTCCGCTGTAACTTGTTGGGTCCAGAACACCCACATTCCATATCCTCCTCTAATATACTTAGAGACTGGGAAAGAGCAGTGAATTCCCTATCGAAGAAGTCAACACAGCAGACTTCAGCCGCAATCCCTCCTGCCTTGCCTATCCACAATAATCGTCCCAAGCAGATAAAATCAGACTCCGAACCTGTCACAGGCGGTAAAAGATGGGCATTAAAAAGGGGTTTCGGGAGAAAATGATCTACGTTACGCCTTTTATTGCGGCTAGTTTAGGCATGAACTTATCCTGGTTTATATATCAATCAATTAATCAATCAATCAAAATTCTATTAACCTGTTCGAGCCTAACTACTGAACGTCTAGCTATGCAGGTGCTTCAGAAGAGCCTAGAATCTAACCGTAAACGCCGTATATCCCACCTATAGAGAAGATAGTCTAAATCGAAGAGCTTTTAACCACAACTAAAGCTGCCTGCCACCCCCCTGGCAGTTGCCTTTCTCTTCCATCCGTGCTCCTGTCCCCTTCTAGTGCTCCTGGTAAGTCAATATTTTGGTGCGTATATAGAAGAATTGACCAAATTCCTCCTGGAGTGACCGTTTACTCATCGTCTTCCATATCTGTCCGTCTTTAGTGGTGACCAGTTTGCTCAACCGCCCGGAATTGGCTGAGCAATCCTGTCTGGTGCATGAATTCGGCGACGTAGCGCATCGCCTGCGGGTGGGACATAATCCCGTTGTAATCCATCTTTCTTCGAATCCCAGGATCTAGCCTATCCAGCATAGCTTTCCTAGGTTCGATAAAAAGTGGACATTGGAGTAAGATATGCCTTGAAGTCTGGGACCCCTGCCCGCAGTGGCATTGGTCTGAGTCAGACACCTTGATTTTAAAGAGAAAATGCTGCAGCCCATTTCTCTGTGTCCGCATCTGAATGATGATAGATGCGTGCGGCTTGGAAAGGCCTTTATAGAGATCCAGCACTCTTTTATTCGGGATCTCAGCCAATCTATGTGTAGTGCGGCCTGTCTTCTCTGTTTTCCATTCTCTAGCCAATCTGCCCTTGATCCGGCGGCGTATCTGCCGTTTAGCCGCCGCGGTGAGACAGATGGCCTTCCCTACTTTCTGGGTACCTCGCGTGCGGCTTCATCGGCAGCCTCATTCCCTAGAACTCCGATGTGTGCAGGAATCCATCTGATTTGAACCCGGTTCCGCATATTATATCGTTTTACTATATAGTAGATCTCGCCTAATATATATTGCCCTGAGGGTCTTTGAGGATTGCGGACCGCCTGTATCGCGGCTTGGCTGTCCACGAAGATTATGGCTGGCAGCTTCTCTTTCCGTAGTTTATGTAGAGCCATCCGAATCCCAGTCAACTCGCCTGCGTAGACCGTAGACTCCCCTTCTGTACCCAGTGTGCGGCTGTGTATCCATCCCCGTGAGATAGATACAGCACTGGCTCCAATTCGACCATTCAATCCGCTCCCGTCTGTGTATACTGCGATCCCCTGTCGCCTGGCGCAGTATCCCTTATGAAACTCGAGTGCGGCGTCGTGGCTGTCAATCACCGTTTCCAACGGGGCTTCCCACGGAGCCAGAATGTATGGCTTGCGGGTTTCCCATGTTCTTCCCCCGAGAGGCCATAGCGGGCCCCCTTTCCGGCTGAGCGCCTCCATCGGTGTCCACCCGCTGCGACGGCGTTCCCGCGCTGAGCGTGGTTTCAATACCGATTCGGGGCAGGCTAATTCCGGTCCAGTCCGGATTCTGATTGCCGTTTCCTCGATGATCTGCTGTAGCTGGAGATGTACCGGTAATATATATAATTCAACATTTAAAGCTGCTGCTGCAGTGCCTTTGAACGCACCGCTGATCAGCAACGCGGCTTGTTTTTGGATCTGTGCAAATTCCGCGAGCATCTTTTGGTTTGTTGAGGCGACCATCTGGCCGCCTCGCGGGCTGAACCAAGCCGTGGCTCCATAGAATAGCTGGGGAATCACTACCGCTTGGTAGATCCGGCGCATGGCCCGCAGGGGCACGCCCCATGTGGATCCGGCGATCCCTCGTAGGGCTGCCAGTGTGCCATGTGCTTTAGCTAGTGCCTTAGTACGGTGCGTGGCAAAGGACAGGGTTTTGTCAAGCCAAATCCCCAGATATTTAGCCGTTTCTGTCGGCTTGATGGTCGTGTCTGCGTAGGGGACCTCCATCTGGTCGTGGCCGGTTGGTGGAAGCGGCACCCTCCAGATACCATCAGGATCGTCTGGCGATATCTCTGGAGACGGAGGCGTTGTTGCCGCTTCCGTTTTCCTAGGATTAGTGAAATGAATAAGTTCGAACTTTTCCGGCGCAAATTTAGAGGCGTGCTGGCTAGCCCATCGGCCTGCTCTACTTAGAGCCTCCTTCAGTGTTTCGACGTTTCCTGCGTATGAGTCGGAGGACGCCAGGACGCAGGCGTCGTCAATCCACCCGTATGCCTCGGTCGAGCCTCCCTGTGGTCGCCGCACAAAAAGGTCTCTGATCAAAGGAGTGTTGTAGACCAGGTAGAGAATCGGTGACAGGGGTGAGCCCTGCGGGATGCCCGTCGGAGTCGAGAACTCCGAACTGAGTTCCCCTGCTAGGGAGATTCGGGTTGAGCGGTTGGTTAGAAAGGACTGCAGCCAGTCCGCAAAATGGCCCAGCCTCAGCTGGCGAAGGTTGAATAAAAGTCGAGTGTGGGACACGTTGTCGAAGGCACCGGACACGTCCAGCAGGACCATACTCACCTTCCTATCTCGTCCCCATGCCCGATATATGTAATCGAGAATAAGCTGGATGGCATGGTCAGCAGAGATACCCTTTCGCCCTCCTAGGTGGGTTTTCGGTAGTAATTTGTATTCCTCCAAAGCCCAGGCGATTCGCGTGGCCACGATCGATTCTAGGATTTTACCAAGGGTGTTGAGTAGAGCAACTGGTCGGTACGATTTGGGTAAGCGATAGTCTCGAGGCGCGGCTTTGCGAAGGGCTACTGTGGTGGAGGTCTGGAAGTGCCTGGGGTTGTGTCCTATTTTGATACTCGTATTAAATAGTTGCGTGATTCGGTCCAAAAAGACTGGAACATTGAGTAGCTCGTGCCAAATTTTGTTTGGAATCGCGTCCGGTCCTGGTGCTTTATCTGGGGGTGCTCTTCGAATCGCTTTGGCTACCTCCTCCTTGGTAATCTCTGGGAAATCGATCTGTACCGGCTGGACTCGTCGCTCGATGTCAGACAGATCGGCTGGGGGTGGTTCGGGAAAGAATGCCTCTCGCAGAATCTCCGCCTTGGCCTCAGTGGTGTTGGCCGGACCCTGAGATCCGATTAGGGTTGGAATTGTATTTGCGGCCCGAGTCCCGCGATTGCGGGCCCACTTGGCCACGCGCCAGATTCCATGAGTGCCTTGGTCAATCGCCTCCGAGACCCAGCGGCGGAAGCCCCGTCGCAGGCTCGGGAGATGATGCGGCCTTTTCGGTTGCGGGCTTTGACGTAGGCCGCCCAGCTCTCAGTCGAATGAGTGAGGGTATATACCCTGCGTAGCAGTCTGGTCATCTTGACCATATCCTGGCATTCCGGTGTGAAATTGGGGTTGGCCCACGTGCTGGGACGGGCCCACGGGACCGCGTGTTGAATCGCCCTCTGGATTACTTCGATAAGAAAGTCCGCGGCCGTATCAATCGCGTCCGGTGAGGGATCCGTTCTTAACGTGTGCCAGTGTGAGTATGTATCGAGATTGTCGGCCACGAATTCTCGCAGCTTCGCTGCGTCCATGGCCTTCCAGTTGCGTCGTTTTGGTAGTTGGGCGGTCTGCGGGGAGAAGTCAAGAATCGTGCGGATTGGTAGGTGGTCCGAGTCCGCGTGCACCTCAGGAGCCACTTCGCAGGCAATAAATTGATCTGCAAGGCTCTGCGCTCTGAAGACAAGGTCGATCGTGGACCGATGGTTGTTCCAGTCTCGGGTCACCGTTCCCGGTTCCAGCCAGAGGTCTAGGAGCCGAGAGTCGGTAAATTCTAGCAGCTTCGGAGCTCTTCGGTCGGTACGGGTCCGTCGGTCTCTGCCGGTTTCGTCGGTATCGATATCGGTTGTGGTGGTCCGGTCGATTTGACTCGGGTCGGCGTGGGCGTCTTGTTCGGACCAGGCCGGATGATGGAGGTTGAAATCACCGAGGATGATATGGTCCCCTCTCGGGGCTACCACTCGGTCAAGCAATTCCACTGTGCCAGTACGGTTTGTATCCCATGGTCCGGGATTATATATATTAAAAATCCGCAGTTTTCTGCCCTGTACGTGGAGCTCGAGCTCCTGGCAGTCAGCGGAGTGCACCGTGTGCCTCCATGTTCTGGGGTTAATCTTGCGTGAGATGTACAAAGCCACGCGGGCTCGCTGGTCCCCGACATCGCTGGCAGAGGGATACAGGAGCTGGTGGCTACCATGCGCAGGATGGTGTGTTGTGTCCGAGTACGGATTCTTCCAGGGCTCCTGGACTGCAATGATATCGGCTTGCAGTACAGCGGGATCGCGTAGGAATTGCGCCATTACGACATCCCTGGATCGGTTCACATTGTATTGCAGTATCTGTAGTTGCTTATTCATGGTTTAGGGTTGAAGCGGTGTTTGTAGTGGCTGATCTGGTACGGCCCCGGACTTCGGTGTCAGGGCCGATTGAGTCCCGCTGCCGTTGCCGTTTTCTCGGACTCAAGGATCGGGCCTGCGTCGGCGGTTCGTTCGTGGCCATTGCTCGGTCGATCCGATTGACAAGCCTGAGGCTTCGTCGCGTGCCTTCGGTGCCGGAAGAGACCTGACTTCGTCGGGTAGTCCCTGGTAGGGTGGGCGGCAGAGTTGGGACGCTGGTCAGCGTCGATTCCGTGGTCAGGGTGCCAACTGGCGGGTCAGCTTCGGTCTGCGGAGGGGTGTTCCCGGTGAACCTCAGTCCCTCCATGACCGAGTCGTCCGGCGCGTCTCTGGCAGCTGCGGACGGTCCCCCAGATCCCACATTCTCGGCCCGTGGGGCGGCTCTGGCACCCACGGGCAGTCCCCCGGAGATCTCACTCCCTGTCTCGGTGCGGGACTCCGCGCTGGAGCTCCCTGGTGCGGCGGACCCGGTGGCGCTACCATCCGGGTCTTGCAGGTAGGCGGGGGTCCGGTGGTAACGAGGCCGATGCATCGCTCGTCCCTGGGCCTTCTCCCGCTCCTGTAGGTATACCTCGCACTTTTTATACCAGGCCGTATGATCGCCATTGCAGTTGGCGCACTTCGGTACAAGCCTGGGGGTGTTGCGGTCCGGACAAGCCCTGGTCTCGTGCTTGCCCGCACATGCACCACAGATAGTATCGTGAGGACAGATGTTTCCTATGTGGCCGTATCGTTGGCAGTTATTGCATCGTACGATGCGAGACGCCCGGTCATACAGAGTATTCTCAGAGACCCGAAAGTCCCAGACCGTGCCCGCGTCGATGGCTTTGTTCGCATGGTGCGACGTGGTAAACTCAATGACAATCGAGGACGTTTTCTTGCCCGGTGGAGGGCGGACGAGCCAGCCGACATGCACTACCTCGCAGGATTCACCCCATGCGTGGCGGTTGTTGGCCACGAGTTCCTGGGCGATCCGTTTCCGGTCGTCCTCGTCGGTCAGCGGCCCGAGGGCCTTGCAGGGCATGTCAGAGGCGACCACCCCCCACGTGGGTAGGGCGACCCGCGCCGCCTCGCCGAAGCCGCGGACCCAGTCGTCCCGATAGGTGCGCGCGATCTCCGCTTCCTTGGCACTGCGGAGGAAGAGCCGCAGGTCACCTGACCGCAGTATCTTCGCCGCGACGAACTGGATGGACGCCAGCGTGGGACGGACGGCCTTGTAGGCGGCGTTCCGGCGGTGCTTCTCGGCGCGTTTGACCAGATCTTCGCTGGTGAGCCGGCGGAGGTTTCTGGCCATGGCGGAATCACCCACCTTGACCGTGACGGCGCGCTCGCGGTCGAGGTCAGCTGGACGCGCCGGCGCGGTGCTGCTGGAGCCGTGCGTCGACTGGTGATGGCACGGCGGAGACGCCCGCAGGGGCCGGGGGCTGCGCGCGACTCAGCACCATCCCCTACCAGGTCGATGCTGGTATCAGGAGATAGCTCTCGCGGATACGAGAAACTAGGCAAATTTTGAGCCGTTTCCGGCGTGGGGTGG